ATTGGACAGTTACTCAGTCAACCTTCGAGAATGTGGGGTCGTGTGGCGCAGTCGCTAGCGCATTCAGCTCACACCCCAGAGGTCGCGGGTTCGAACCCTGCCCATGTCACCGATCTTGTGCCCTTGGGAAAGGCACTTTAGGCCACACCAAGTAAATTTTATGGATGACGTCCTTTGGAGACCCTATATCTAATGCGAGAGTGCGAAAAAAAAAACAAGAAGGGCCCTAAAAAACAAGATGCTTAGATTAGAAATATACTAAGAGACGACAAATGTTAGGACACAAATTGAATGAGGTGACACAGTATAACAAGCAAGAAGTCGTTTATTCGTCATCAAAACAGCAATAAATCAGGTGGAACAGCAGTTGTTGTCCTGTCCTGTTTTTGTGTTACGGGTTTCACGTCAATCTGGCGATTTGTGGCACTGTCGTGACTCTTTGGTCATAGTTACAGGAAGCGGAATTTCTTGTTTTTTTTCTAGGAACAGGCCAAAATCAATGCACGCGGACGTCATCCATAAAATTTACTTGGTGTGGCCTAAACTTAAGTTAAATTCTTATGGGCCTGAAAGAGTCAACAGTCTATTCTTCACATACGTATATTCAAAGGCACAAAGTATTTATTAGCACAAAAATCTCTCCCCCCCTTCTCTCTATATACAGTGGTTTTGGTTTAGAAATGCAGCGTGTTTTATTCCCCTAACAGTCATACATGGATGGAATGATTTTGTGATGGCACCAATGTAAAAAACTTGGACGGACTGCATTCATTCCAAATTCACAAAATGGAATGGACAAAAAGAATATCACTGTACATCAGATAAAAAATGTAAACAATGCAATCTCACATGGCTAAGACAAAGTATATCTCTGGTCTTTCCTTGTAAATTCATCTCAGTTTTTCATAATCTTTGCAAAGAATATGAAAATTGTCAAGTGATATCCGTTCATGATTGACATCAGTTAAAACTATAATTCTCTTTGATTGTTACACTAGACGTTTCGGACGACTTCAAGCCACCCCTTGACCCCAATTTTAAATTTAAACCCCTCCTTCCGACATCACTCTTGGACCCAGTGACAGAACTGATTGTGCTTCTTGCTTTGGATTTGTTCTGCGTGTTTTTGGCTCCTTTGCTGGTGTTGTTCCTGAGGCTTTTCCCCATGAGTTGGTCCACGGTGACACGTGAGCCAGGGTTGGGGTTGGTGGTGGGGGTGGGGCTGTCTATCCTAGTACGGTCCCCGCGACTCTTTGGACTACCGTCCCTACCTGTTGGTGCAAAAAAAGATCATATGATTTGTGAAGGTCTTGTTAGGAGTAACAAATGTCAAGTACATGTAATTGCTGTTCAATCAACTTAATATACTGTCTTTCTAAAAAAGAGTACTGTCCTTGGTACTGAACATCTTTACTGTCTTTTTACAGAAGAGCCCTTTCCTTGGTACTGAACTTCAGAAGTAAAATATTGTACACTACTGTCTTTCTATAGAAAAGCCCTGTCCTTGGTACTGAACTTCAGAAGCAAAATATTGTCTTTCTATAGAAAAGCCCTGTCCTTGGTACTGAATTTCAGAAGTCAAATATTGTACAGTACCAAGGACAGAAGAGTTCTGTCCTTGGTACTGAACTTCAGAAGTAAAATATTTTACTCTGCTGTCTTTCTATAGAAGAGCCCTGTCCTCGGTGCTGTTAGAAATCATCCTATCTTCTTTAATGTATCATTAGAAAACAGTTTTCAGTAAATTTTGTCATCAAAGTCAGTTTGGTTGGTTGTAAACGAGTTGGTTGTAAATGCTAAATCCCCAACACCAACTCCACGACCTGGTGCCCCCCCAGAGAGCAACTGCTACCGGCAGGATCCTAAGGAACAGCCAGGCCATGAGTGCTCCCAGGGCTAGGACAAAGCAGCTCCAGCAGTCCTTTCTCCATAGGGCCATAGCCCTATACAACAAAGAACTGACGTATCACTAGTTTTATTTTTCCTAAACCTCATCTGTATATAGTTTTTTGCTTGGTACAAATTCTTTATGTATTATAGTGTATATGAGGGTGTGTATATAGTGTTTGTTTTGCCTATTGTAACTTTTTTTTTCTGTACGCACACTCTTTCAATTCAGGGATTCTCATCCCTGCTGCAAGGTTTGCTTTTGGTGTTGAAATAAATAAATAAAAAAACAACAAACTTACCTCCAATTCTGATGCACTCTTCCTTGTGCCTGGCGTTCCAGGCCTTGAGTTTACAGGCCTTGCTGCAGTAGTAGACCTCCTTGCACCTGGTACAGGCCGAAAGTCGCACGCCCACTGAACGACCACACTCGTAACAATACTTGAACACTGGTTTCCTGGGATGATAAAACAATAGGCAGTGTTAGAAATATCCTCTGCAGTCGGCATTTTGCAGAAACATTTTCAATGTTGCAGAAAAAAAATTAAGCAACCTGCAATTTTGCAAGAATAGTTTAATAGAATAGAATAGAATAGATTAGAACAGCAGTAACTTTGTTCCTCTTACCTGTTCACATATTCCATGTCTACTGTTTATCCTGTATGTATACCACCGTTATTAGATTTAAGTAGAGATAATAGGTTTGATAAGTATATCGTACACGTAGAACTTCATGTTAGCAAATAGTCTTATATCACCACATTTTTCTTGTCAATGTCTGTATGAAATTAGCCCTCGGGCATGAATTTGCAATAAACAACTATCCTGACAGCATATCAAGTTGCCCTTCCCTGAAATGGTCAAATACACACAAGACAACAATGACAATACTCCTCCATACCTGACGTAGCTCTGTGCTTTGCGAGACATGGACTCTGCTAGTTCCTTCACACCTTTCATGGTTGCTGCCTGACCAACGTCCACAGTGATGATCCCAGTCACAGTTTCATCATCCCTGAAAATACATCAGATCACACATCAGACATTGTACAGGTGCAAAATGTGTTTTTAAAACTGGAATTATGGTAACATTTGCCAAGCAAATTCATAATGTTTACCTTTGCATATGGTCTTCTCTGTTAATTTTTACTCAAACACTTGGAAAACGATACTAATGTCATAGAATGCCAAGATAAATTCAGGAAAAGAAGAAAATGTGAAGAAAAGAATCTATTATTATTCCCCATACCATACTCTGTGGGTTTAGTCATTTATTAAACCTTTATGACCTTAATGAAAGAAACTTTTTTTTTTGCCAAACTTTTTTTTTATTTGCATGCTCGCGTCAGTTTTGGGGTTCCCAGAGGATGTTATCCATATAATCAAATCAACATTACTTTAAATTCAAGTATTTGAATCTGAGTTGAAGAACTTACTCGTCTAGTTCCTTGTCCACCAGAGGTTTCTCCTGACCGGTACTGTCTGTTGCCATGGTGCTGAACCCCACCTTGCCCCTTGACCTCAGGGTCGGGTGGGAGGCCCCTGCACCTGTATACACAAACTTCTCACTCGGACCTGCACCTGTGGCAATAGCAACAAGAATGGCGTTAAAAAAAGAACTGGCGACATGTGGAAATATACCATTTTGATTTTGTATACTAAGTTTGCTCCATTCAGAATTCTGCGGGCCAGATCGCCTGAGGACCGAAGGCCAGAGGGAGATCCGATCCGCGGGAGGGCTGCGTGGGACCGAGGGTAATGCGGAATATGCTGTGTTGTATTTTATTTATGTCATGGCAACCCGAGAAAACAGACATTTCAATGCAAAATATTTTGGTGTATCTAAACAAAAAGTGTAACGGCTTCAATTCCAACATCCGGTGTTTGAAGTTTCCAAAGTTGTGCACTCGGTACACGGGAAACGCGTACGGATTATTCAATGGAACATTTGGAAGCCCGTATGATAAAGAAATAGAACCCCGGGCCTTACCACTAGTTATCGCACAGGCCAGAACACCCGTATCGAACGTTATCACGGCCCAGGTATGACATAAATCTTATTAATATTATCAATATGTGCGATGGATTGCAGTATGCTTGGATCAGGTACACAGTAAGTTGTAAGATGACATACTTTTCCTTCCGTCTCTCTCGTCTTGCTCCAGGATTTCACGTTCCCGAGCGACCGCTGCCTCCCTCAGTAACTCTCCCAGGTGAGCCAGCAGCTTGCGCCGGGCGTTGTACGTGTCCCTCTCCGCGTGGGTCAGCGCGTGGTAGGGGGTGTGGGCAATACGTCTGTCCTGAAAGGGATTAAAGAGACTCAGTGTTAGTCAGTGTACCGGTGCAGCGGCCAAGTGGGTAGAGTGCTTGCCTTGCATTTGGGAGGTCGTGAGTTCGATCCCAGACCAAGTCATACCAAAGACAAAAATGGTACATACTGCTATCTCCGCTTAGCACTTAGCATTTGGGTATTAAAGACTATGGGAGTTAAACACACACACACCACTACCAGTGGACTAACCCCCTGCTGTGGTGATTGCACTTTTGTGTGGCTCAGGGCTATTGAAAACAGAGATGGGTGCCGCTCTATGCGTCACTTGATGCGGGAAGGGTCTTTAACTTCAACTTTTTAAGTGTTAGTCTGAGTAAATCGCTTGATGATCAAGTATTTGTCTTTGTATTTGTCCATTGCATTCAAGGCCTTTTGAAACTGCATTTTGTCCAGACTCATTGATATCTAAGTGACAAGGGCATTTGAAAGTATAGGGGGCAGGTAGTGTGGTTATAGGTTACATATCACAACACTTACTTGATTGAAGGCAAAGTAGGCATAGTCCACAGCAGTTCCTTGCAATTTCTTAGGTCCGATGGGGATGGGAGCCAGGATGTTAGCTCCTGCCTTGATCAACTTGTCAATCTATAGTCACAATAAAGTCAACCAGATTAACATAATAGTGGCTCTATGGTATCATTTGGCATAGTACAGGATTGTTTTCATACACTGAAATAAAGCATTGGCAAGTTGAAGCATTAAAGGTCATAGTATGACTGAAACTTCACCCATACCAGTGCGATCCTGGCATGTGGTGGTCTCCTGTGTTCACAGGCGATAGAAGAGGCAGCACACAGGGCACTACCAACACCGTGGGACAGTGGTAGGCTGGGGTCTGCTCCGAACTCCAATAACTCATCTATGGCCTAGAGAAAGAACATGTGAAACATTAGTCTTTCTACAGAAGAGTCCTGTCCTTGGTACTGAACTTCAGAAGTAAATTATTGTACACTTTTGTCTTTCTATAGAAAAACCCTGTCCTTGGTACTGAACTTGAGAAGTAAAATATTGTACTCTACTGTTTTTCTATAGAAAAGCCCTGTCCTTGGTACTAAATTTCAGAAGTAAATTATTGTCTCTACTTCTGTCTTTCTATAGAAAAACCCTGTCCTTGGTACTGAACTTGAGAAGTAAAATATTGTACTCTACTGTTTTTCTATAGAAAAGCCCTGTCCTTGGTACTAAATTTCAGAAGTAAATTATTGTCTCTACTTCTGCCTTTCTACAAAAAAGCCCTGTCCTTGGTACTGAACTTCAGAAGTAAAATATTGTACACTACTGTCTTTCTATAGAAAAGCCTGTCCTTGGTACTGAACTTCAGAAGAAAAACATTGCACACTACTGTCTTTCTATAAAAAAGCCATGTCCTTGGTACTGAACTTAAGAAGTAAAATATTGTACTCTACTGTCTTTCTCATGAGTTCTGTCCATGGTACTGAACTTCAGAAGTAAAATATTGTACACTACTGTCTTTCTATAGAAGAGCCCTGTCCTTGGTACTGAACTTCAGAAGAAAAACATTGCACACTACTGTCTTTCTATAGAAAAACCCTGTCCTTGGTACTGAACTTCAGAAAAAATATTGTACACTACTGTCTTTCTATAGAAAAGTTTTGTCCTTGGTACTGAACTTCAGAAGTAAAATATTGTACACTACTGCATTTCTATAAACAAGTCCTGTCCTTGGTGCTGAACTTCAGAAGTAAGATATTGTACACTATTGTCTTTCTAAACAAGATCCCTGTCCTTGGTACTGAAATTAGAAAGCATCCTATCTTCTTTACTGAATCATTTATTATAAAACAGTAAATTTTCAGTATCAATTTTCAGTATCAATTACTTGGACTCTTGGTAAAAGTACATGGTATGCAATGATCCTAACATTTAAGATGGAATCATTATTACGAAGCTTAAATCAACACTAATCAGGAAAAAAAATTTGATACATACCAAGTCATTCCCACTGCCGATAGCCAGAGACAGTGGGGAGTGCCCCTGGCACAGGAGATTGGGGTTCGCTCCAGCTTCAAGAAGAAGTCGTACTACAGAACGGGCATCCTGAGATGGGTACAACAAGAAGCAAAGGATATAAAATGTGGGAAATACATGGTTGCTTAGGAACACTTTAAAACTAGAAAAGCAAATGCATTATGTTTACTGTCACATAGCCCAGCTTAACCAACTACTGTTCTGTTCATTCTTACTCACACATTCATATAATTATATGTTGACCATGCAGCCCCTCTTGAACTAGATTCTGCATGGCACTTGTAACATTATGTAATCCAACACCAGTTACCATGGTGAAAGATGTCTGGCCCAGGTCATTGACCTTATTTGTTTGGAGAAGAGGAGGAAGAAACTGAGCAAAAACAATATGTTTTCCTTCAGTAAGCAAAACAAACTAGATAACAAGAAATGCTAATGCCTAAGTGTCATAAACCATTGTATCTCATAGCCTTAATACATACCCAGTTGTTGTCGTCCCGCTCACATGCGATATGAAGAGGAGTTCTGCCTCCTTCAATTGCAGACAGTTTTCCATTCTGTGAAATAATCCAGGAGTAAAAAATTAATGAGCAAGTAAGTTTTCTATTTCATACTTTTGTATTAAGTTTGTTATAATTTCATATTCAAGCCACATTAGAAAATGAATGGATGGATGAGCAAATGAATGAATGTATGAATGGGTAAAAGAGAGAACATACCTGATCCTCTTCTGTGCCCTCCTCATGTGCCCTCATGTCAGGGTCTGCCCCTGCATTCAGGATCAGCTGAGTGATCTCAACCCCCTCCTCCCCTGGAATGGCTGCTGCAATGTGCAGCGGAGCGAGGCCCCCTTTCTGTAGACAGAATTACTGCAGTTAGCATCCAAATTCACGGAACAACACATAGTACAGCACATGCATGCTTCTGAGCAGAATATCTAGAAAAATCAATGACCAGAAAATACACAAGATGATTGAGGATTTTACCTCTGGCCCCAGCTGTGCTGTAGTTGAAGCATGAGCCTCTAGGAGGCGCTTCACTGCACCGACATCTGCAGCCTTGATGGCAAAGAACATGGCTGGCATGGGTACCTGGGCGGCATTGGGGTCTGCACCCCTCCGTAGTAGGAGCCTGATGGTAGCTTCCATGATACTGTGCCTGTAGAAAGTACAGTATAGGTTAGGGACAGACCAAATAAACGGGTAACTGGGGAGGGTACGTCTTAAAAATATTTGTTTTGGTCCAAAAATAGTTTTTCTTTGGGTTCTGAGTGTTGAGTCTCCTATGAAATGATGACAGTAGATTTTTTACTTACTCAGACATAGCAAAAGCCATTTGTCTGGCCGTGCCATTGTCCCTCTGCTTGCTCAATCTGCTCACCACCCTGTCATTCATACTCAGCGCTGTCGCAGTTCTCTCTATCAGCTGCTCTGTCACCTCGATCTTGTAGTTCACCAGGCTCTCATTGGACTCAAAATCACTGGTGACGTCGTTTTCTAAGTGGAAGTCAAGTTCGCTGGGGTTTTCCTTGGCATGTCTCCAGTCGTAGGACTGAGTGTCATCTTCCAACATTCCCTCGTACGTCGCAAACTCGGGGGTTAGGTTAAGTTTCAGCTGCTGGCTTCGTGCTTCGTCGGTGACCTCACCGCTCATGAGGTCAATCCCGCTGTCCACGTGTGCCGCGTCTCCGGTAACGAGGTCTTTACTCGGAGCGCCGGGAAGCGGCTCCCGTTCCTCCATCTTTGCGAGCGCCTTCTCAAACTCCAGAGCGAGCTGGGCTTCCGTTTCATCGATTCCCGTCTTCTGTTGCTTCTTCCTACGCCGCGGGTCCCGCCGTTTTCCCGTGCTCAATGTGTCCGCCTCTGTTGTCGCTTCCTCTCGCTCCGAGTCGGGTGGCTTCATGCCCTTTTCGGCGATGTTGAACTTGAAGGAATCGACGGGGTAGTAGAAGATGTGGCACGCTGCTATGGCGGATACTCCCTCATCGCTCAGCTTGTTGACATCAGCGCCGTTGTCAAGGAGACAGTTGATAACATTCTGGTGACAGTTAACCTGTGGATCAACAGCAAAAATGATGACATTACAACAGTTGTTGCTGAAGGTTAGACATGATATTAGAAAATTCAAACTCTACTCCTGGAGAAATAACAGAGATAACTTCCAGACGTTTCGAGCGACATCCATCACTCTTCTTCAGCGTCACTAACAAACTAAGGCCACACCAATTTAATTTGTTGGTTCTCGGATTTTTTCAGAGAAAATATGAAGCAGCAGGGCGAAAAAATAAAAACAGGTCTAGGCAATTCCTATAATTATAGCCCCAAATGCTATGATAGGAGCCATGAAGTCAACACAAAAGGCTGGGTTAATATCTGAACAATGAATTTTGAACTTTTAATCAAAGCAAGTTGCATTGATGGATGGAAAAACTGGGACAACTAGGAAGAAAAGGACTTTTCTTGACTGTTGGGGGCAAAATATGAGCATATTTGAGTTGATTCTGAATCAGAATCTTTTTTTTTGTGCAAATCAGAAAAAAATGAATGCGAATCCGAGAACCAACAAATTAAATTGGAGTGGCCTAACAGAACTCGTTACCACATATCCATGAGCAACAGAAACAGAAATGAGTCAGCAGATAATATACATCACTGTGGATGGTTAAAATGATTGTTGTAATCTTGAGGCCAGATAGACACAAAAATGCAGAACTTTTATTAACTTACAGATGCTCCTAGTAACGAGGTTACACCACTTCTGTCAGCTACGTCCACGTGGACCTCTCCCTTCTGCAGCAGCTTGTACACACACTGGTAATCCCCACGTGTCGACCCTCGAATCAGGTCCTCCGACGCCAGTTCCAACGGTCCCTTCCTACCAAAATTGCTCCTATCCCCCTTCAGTATTGCCTCCATGTCCACCGCCACCGTGTCTTGTCTGTGCCTGTGTCTGAAGATGTGTTTTTGCATCTCTATGAGTGACGGAGTATTGTTCTCTGCTTTGATAACCGTGCTTACGTCCTCTAGCTTCTTCTCTAGAACGTCGCGGAAGAACTGTTCTTCGAACTCAACGCTAGGGTCCAGGTCGGACGTGATAACCTCCTCGAATTCTAGCAGGATGCTCTCCGCGAGGTCGCGTCCGGTACTGTTCGTGTCGGTGAGCGCAAGCGAAGTTGGTACACCGGTGCTGAGAGGCACGGTGAGGTACTGTACAGTCGGCAGCTCGGAATCTTGCGACCCGTGTTTTAGTTTCGAAAGGATTTCTGTGATTTCGATGTCCTTGACGTGTAGCGTGGGGTTGTACTCAAACTCTGGGTGCTGCTGCATGGTGAAGACTTCGTTGATTGGCGTGCAGAGCCGTACCAGGCGTTCTTTGTTCCAGAGTCCGACATCCTGGCGACCGTTAGGGTACGAGAGGACCCCAGGGCCGTATCTCTCATCATTCTTGTACAATCCCTATGATGTAAAGAAAACATATAAATTACAATATAATAACAACGCCAATTTTTTTATTTTTCAATACTTTAAACAATTACTAATACTATTAGTAATTGTTTAAAGTATTAGTAATAGCTACTTTGTGGAACTTTCGAGATCTTGTTTTGAAGTTCTCTTGTCACATGACTTGATATTGAATGTCATGTGCCAAGAGATGCACAGTCATACTCATATACAGGCTTAAGGTAGTGACGTCCCTGTATAATGTTTTGTAACTCATAATATGACAATTGCATTACCCTTCAATTACCTTGATTTAATGATAACTTTGGTTTTACTTAATATGTTAACCAAGGAAAACATATTGTTTTTGCTCTGTTTCCTCTTCTTTTTCTCCAAACAAATAAGGTCAATGACCTGAACCAGACGTCTGTCACCGTGGTAACTATGTGTGGGTTACATCATGTTGCAATTTTATAGCAGGAGGGATTCAGACTCTTGTCACCATATATATGAATGTGTTAGAATTAACAGACCAGAGCATATGTGAAGGTAAACATTATGCATTTGTTTTGCAAATGTTACATTTCTTAAGTGTAAATGAAGAGGTGACTCACCTGGAATTTGTTCCCATTTGGGAAACAGAACTCTCCGTACCCCTCCTTCTTGTCCAGATAGAACGTTCCGGTGAAGGAGGTGCCATCTGGCCAGGTGTACGTGCCGTTTCCATGCCGACGGTCGCGGAAGAAGTCCCCTTTGTAGCCCTGGAGGGAGAGATAAAAGTTGTTGTTTTATCTGTCAGCAAACAGCAAAACGTGATGCAGAGTAAAGAGACTCTTCTTACACAACCAGGTCTTTTATACAGCCGATGCTTCAGTGACCATCTGTCACCTTCCTCAGGGCAATTCTGACTGGTTCACATTGTACAGCACAGGTGTCGCTGCTATAATAGATGCATTCCAATCGTGATGCAGCATACATAAAAGGCATCACACAGTGACCACTGTTTTGCAGGTTACAGGTGTTACAGTCCAGATTGTACCCATGTCCAGACCGTACCAGGGTACATTTTGGCCTGGGCTATATGCTGACCAGTGTTACACTGGTATTTCCTGAAGATATGAATGACGTTAGATATTATTATATAAAAGGACTGTTCTTCTTACCGCTGCTCTAAAACTCTCAACGCTCACGACCAAGATGCTGAACCAATCTCATTCAAGTACAGCTGTGTAGTGCAAGTACAATCAACTGAAAGCAGATTTTGCTCCAATCGAACCTTTTCAAGGCACTTTGACAGTTTAAGCTTGTGGTGTGATTTGTGAGTGACAAACTTGAAAAGAGCTCTTACGTCAACAGTGCAGGTGATTAAACAAATCCTGGACCCTTCAGTTTCTAGTCTGTAACGATCTCTTTGACCCACTTACAAGCTTTTAGAAGTCTTGGTTTTGTTCAAACTGTTGTAAGATATTATTTGTTTGTCCACATTGGGTCTTATTATAGGGGTACACCTAGCTACAGTACTTAAAATTGGGATATTAAAATATGCGTGGATTTGAAATCTGCAATCTAATCCTGGTCTGGGCAAATATCTAATTTGATTTTGTAAAGTCACAAAAACAAGTTTTTGACTTATAAGTTTTCTTCTCATAAAATAGAGCTTCCTTCTGAAAATGTGCTAGTTCAATCATGTTATTCATTTTTGCCATAAAATGCAGACTTAGAACAATTTTATAATATATGTGAGTAAGGAGACTCTATTTTACACAACCAAGTCCTTTATTCAGATGACATTTTGGTGACTGTCACCTTCCTCAGGGCAATTCTGACTGGTTCACATTGCATAAAAAGTCTCTTTACTCAGTGACTTACCAACCTGATGAAACTATTCACGAATAATATATGTCATTTTCAAGTTTTCTGGTTCTATTCCAAGGACAATTAAGAAAACAGGTGTGGCTTATCTCACCTTGTATTCTTTTAGAAGTCTTTTCTTTTTCAAGAAATCAAACAGCAAAGGAAGTTGACTAAACATTACACTTCACACAACCCACCACACGACCCCCTGAATCAACACCAGTAGAAAGAGAAGGCCAGGGGGGGGGGGTCCTTGTATCGACTGCTAACCAAACAGCCTTTATTTCACATCTCAAGCATCTGACTTAACGGGCTTAGGGTTGTCCTACAACTTTTTGCAGTGTATTTTTTTCACAGAGGCTTTGACAAAAGAACCCATCGACAAGGAATTCAAGGATCTAGGACGATCTTTTCTGTCAGAAGTATGACAACTTTGTATGACACATTGACAAAGAATGCCCTCAATTGCTAGTTCAATCATGTTATCCTTTTTTTCCGTAATACATTGTTCTACAATTTAGTAATACATGTATATGTGATTTTCAAGTTTTCTGGTTCTATTCCAAGGACAATTAAGAAAACAGTTGTGGCTTATTCACCTTGTATTCTTTTTAGAAGCTTTTCTTTTTCAAGAAATCAAACAGCAAAGGAAGTTGACTAAACATTGCACTTCACACAACCCAACGCACGACCCCCTGAATCAACACCAGTAGAAAGAGAAGGCCAGGAGGGGGGGTCCTTGTATCGACTGCTAACCAAACAGCCTTTATTTCAAGTCTCAAGCATCTGACCTAGGGGCTTAGGGTTGTCGTACAACTTTTTGCAGTGTATTTTTTTCACAGAGGCTTTGACAGAGCCCATCGACATGGAATCCACGGATCTAGGACGACCTTTTCTGTCAGAAGTATGACAACTTTGTATGACACATTGACAAAGAATGCCCTAAATTTTCTACCATTAACTTATTGTAACAAGGCCCTTAGGAAGAGTGACGTGGCAAGGCCCTGTCAATGAAGAACAAGAGTATAGTTTCTGATATAGAATTACTTCAGGTATTGTGCTGATTTGAAAAGTGAATGAAACAAAATGTCTGACCTGCAACTGTGTTGGGAAGACAATGAGTAAATGCGACTTAGTAACAGTATATGTTTTGCAACCTGCGAGAGGTAAACACGCTGGATATATACATAGCTTTAAAGAGTTGTTGCCAACTTGCAACAGGTGGTTGGAATTGGGGGGGGGGTGAAACCTGCATAGAAATCATACAGATTGGTTGCTAATGCTGGCAGAATGCTGTTGGTACGTTTTTGGGGGAAATTACTGTTGTCAAGGAATAAAAAATTGTGTCTTCTCTTTAGATTTCTTTGCAGGTGTTATGAGAAAATGTTGTTGCCAACTTCCAACAGGTGGTTGGTGGGGGGGGGGAACCTGCATAGAAATCATACAGATTGGTTGCTAATGCTATGGCAGAATGCTGTTGGTACGTTTTTGGGGGAAATAACTGTTGTCAGGGAATAAAAAATTGCGTGTTCTTTTTAGAATTCTTTGCAGGTGTTACGAGAGAATGGTCTCTGTATTGACTTCTTCCAAATTCTTTCAACCAATCTCATAACTAACATAACTACCTCAGAATCCATGTATTTAGTTAGAGGTATTTCTTTTTACTTTTCAAAGAAAAGGTTATAACATCTTTATCCCCCTTATTTTGCAATCAACAAAACATTTCATCATTCCAGCTTTTACAATTTTACATTAGGGGTTATCTGATCAATATTTAACAGTACAGTTTACTCTGGAACAAAAGCGGCTGACACTAACCACACACAGCATGGCTTAGACATGGGTGGGGTGTTAAAGTACAGGATTACCTAAATATTGAACTAAGCGGGGACAAATTATACATTACGTCAAGTGCGCTAACCTTCATAAATCAAAGTTACGTTAATGAAACTTTGGTAGAACACTCCTAACGCAATTATCACGTTTTTGTTAAAAGTGTACGGATATACTGCTAGCTTTTTGTACGCAAAAGGCTTTAGGTTGTTGTGAATGCCTTTTATGGAGTGCGTGAACTATAGCAGATGGATTTTATGGCATTTGTTTAATGTATTGTGACAGCAAACATAGGATTACATGCCTTTTATAGCAATGCACACGAACTGGGGCACGTGTGGTAAGACTTACAAAATGCTCTTTTATTCTCTCACCAATCCTTTTGTCGAAAATGCCAGATTGTTCACAAATGTCAGTTCAGCAAAAGGCTTAATTGCTAAGCAATAATCATAAAGTTTGGACCTAACGACTCTTTGATGTTTAAGGTTTCAAATGCTTTCCTTTGTCTGATAAAGTCTTATTGTGCTTTTAGATTGTTGTTTGTTCTTTTTTTCTTTAACTTCGGTACTACATAAATGTATATATATATATATAAAATTAACTTTATAATATACTGTAAATTTATTATCTAATTTTAGTGGATTTATTTGGTGTGAGAGGCAAAATTCCAGCCAAAAAAATGCTACTAAACCACAGGAATACAAAGCTGGTATTGTGAATTTACGACAGTACTTAGCGACATATACGACAAGCCGGCACATGCTGCCTTTTTACATAATTTATGAATCGGCACTGTACGTATGTAGTTGAGTTCTTGAGTCGTGGAGCTTCGGTAGCCTGGGTGCCTGGCTCCGTATTGCTAACTGCCATAGACTACCCAGGCCTAGAGCCAGGCCAGAGCCTCTGTGGACGTAATATTTTTTTTTGAGAACAGGCGAAAATGAATGCGCGCGTGGATGTCATCCACAAAATTTACTCAGTGTGGCCTAAATGTACATTTGTACATGTACAAGTACACGAAATTGTCCCATAACACAATCAAGCAGTACCTTGGTTACCGATAATGAAGTAATTGAGTTAGAGTTCTTCGGTTCTTTTATTTACGGGCCCTAGCTGGCCTCATCCTAGCAACCTATAATTAGTTTCTAGACTACAGTAAAGTGTTTGAAATGCCTTGTTCTTATGTACATGTACTTTGGTACCAAGTTCTAGGTTCTTGCAAAGGTCAGGCTTATCAGTACTGTATTGTTCATTGTAGCTCCACCCTATATGGACTATGAAGCAATGTATAGATTAGGGTATTGCAGTACCTGATGTACTTATAGATTAAACATTATGATATTTATTGTTTTATCATATATGGCCAGTGATAACCTTCGATAAAGGTGTTCTGGACCAGGCCGTACTTCACGGTACGGCCTGGGCTTCCATAGAACGATTCAACCTTGTTTCGCCCTAATTGTGTGCGCTGCTTTCGAAAATTTGAATACAGGTAGATCCGACTCGGGCTGGTACATCGTGTGATATGGAATACCGAGTACCCCATGTTGTTGTGATTCTATACACCAGATACAATTTTGTAGATGCTCAGATATCGATATTCCATAGAAATACTTGTAGGTGGTATGACTCCACACATGTATTTCATTAATACATTCTAGGTAAAGAATCTTAGAAAAATTAATATGGCTAAAGGTACAAATCATACTACATTGAAAAGGACCTAAAAATCTGATGATCTAATAAAAGAAATCTAGATCTTATATGACACAAGAGGGTGACTGCATGGGGGATCCTTGCAAAGCTTTAATAACGGTAAATTTAGTCGACTACAAAGAATACATGAACTGATCCATGATGCAAATTCTCAATTGTCTCTTGAGACATAACTGAAGGATGCCAACAACAAAGACTACAAAAGCACCTTGATATGAATGTTTAAGACCTCACCTGCCCATCAGCCCAGGTGTGCTCCCCTGTCCCGTGTCTTAAGTCTCTGTCGAAGGTTCCCTTGTACTGAGACCCGTCTGCCCATTCCTGGAGACCGTGTCCTGACCGCGCGTTGTCCATAAACTCTCCAACATATCTGTAATAAATGGTTTATTGGTCAAACATTACCCGTGCAATGGCAGCTTTTTATAGTGCTCAATTGATGAGTTTACAATCACATAATACACACGATACATATAACTGTATTTGCTCCACACATTTTTGTGGCACTGTCGCAAGGGTCTGTGTAGCAAGGGTCTGTCCATTGGGTGACCTCAATACGACTTTCCCTAACCAAAGTTAGGTACCCATTTACACCTGGGTGGAGTGAGGAATTAGTTTCTTTCCCAAGGGCACAACATCCAGGCATGTCGCGGGTACAACTCGGGATCGAACCTGGGTCTCCCCGTTTCATAGTCAAACGCTCTTACCACTACGCCACCCAATGCCAAAAACAGGTGTCAGCAGACTCAGCAGTCAGCACAGATGTTGGAAAATTCCAGTAACAAATTTTTAACTCCTGTTTGCCAGAGCAACACAACAGTTAATAACTAGGAAAGACAGTAGCTATTATAACTTTGAAACATCTGGTACATATAAAGAATGGATAGCAATAAAAAGAAACAAGCAAGCTAGGGATTTATCATTTTACTTTTGTTAATTGCCAATACAAGATAGGTAATGGACATTATACACAATGTTATATCATATAATAAGCTGGTGTGTTATGCTGAATTGTACGTTGAACAATACATATACAAATTTGTACATCGTCTAATCAGTCTCTACTTTAATTTATATATTAATTTATCTTTTGGATAAAGAATTATCCTTGTTGACATTGTAGCAATTGTCAACAATTTAATCATGAATGTGGTAACTGCAGCTGTAGTAATGTTATGTGTGACACCTTTAATTTACCTAATGGTGATTTTCTTCAGACGTTTTCCTCAGATGTCCACATGACAATTTGTCTGCTGACAGTTATAATCTCTACCCTTTGGGGAATAAGTCTCACGGGGGCAATTTGTTATCACTGTCACATTAGTCTGGAAGATAAATTATCATAATTGTCCTTGGTCTGGGCAAGCTTTTTGTCTGTCTGTACTTAGGCCAAACCAATTTAAATTGTTGGTTCTCAGATTTGCCTCTTCATTTTTTTCCTGATTTGCAAAAAAAAAAAAAAAAAAGGATTCTGGTTCTGAATCAACTAAAGAATGCTCATATTTTGTCCCAAACAGTTGAGGAAAGTCCTTTTCTTCCTAGTTGTTACAGTTTTACCATCTATCAATACAGTGGTTTGATTAAAAGTTCAAAATTCATTGTTTAAATATCAACCCAGTGTTTTGTGTTGACTTCATGGCTCCCAACGTAGCTATGATAGGGATGCCTCAACCTGCTTTTATTTTATTTTCATTTTTTTGTCCCTGTCGCTTCATATTTTTCCTGAAAAAGTCAGAGAACCAACAAATTAAATTGGTGTGGTCTTTGATAGGGACTGACCATGAATGATCATTTGTGGGAATATCATTTGTGGGTCTGAGACTGCATAAATTTAAAAATGGGAAAATGTACACCACAACAAAGTTAGGAAAGAAAAATTATCTTTAAAAAAAGAACAACTTGCAATATTGCAGAATTTGGTGTTGTCTGCAACCCCCTCTTTAATGATTTTTGGTTTATCCCTAAATTTGAGAGAAAAAAAGTGTAGCAACACACAGAACTGCTACAGGCTTAGTGATGAAAATCAAGATGTTACATCAATTTTGCCAGTTGAACGTATGTTTTCCAAGTTCAAAAACACAATACTTGACACTGTACCTTCATCACTAGTACTGAAACACAACCATCAAACCCTTCTCACACCAATTTGTACCGTTCCATACATTTCAAGCACTAATTAAATCACTGGCTGCGACAGTGCGACTGGACTTCAAAACGCCCCGCAAATTAAATTTTCCTCGCTTACATGGCTCTGAAAGAAAGCATTCAGACACCAATAACGAAACTAATAAAACGACGTAACTTGATAGCCAGACTGCTACAGAGAATGTCTAACTCGTTAACTAAGTTATTAACTGATTAACCAATGAAAAAGATTTATTTTTACCTGTCTCCGTTGGGCCAAACGAAGACGCCTTTCCCCACTCGTTTCGTGCCATCTAAGTTCCCTCGAAAACTGGCACCGCTTTTGTAGTCCAGAGAAGTCTCTAAAATCTCTTCCTGCTTGGCTGACCGAAGCCTCAACAGGGCATGGATACTCTTCTCTTCCCTGACCGGCATCTTGAAGATTTGTCCGATCTTCAAGACGTTCCCAAGTAAAGGAAAGAAAACGGCAGAGAAGTCCACAATCGGTAGATCACCACTTCCGGATGTCTTGATTGTAACGTTGCCTTGACGAATTTTCCCGCCTTTCACAGAAAGCTCGTGGGATTTTCCGACACTAGGACCAGGCTTGACCCGTCTTCTGACATCTATGGACTGTCCAGAGGGCTATAGTTGTCTATTAGGAGTGCACGTTTCTCTAATAAATGTCATAGTACCAACCCTACCATGGCGATACTTGTGTGTGGTGCCAAGTCGGTGTGCACAATGAGTCCACAAACCGTGGGCGATACCAATAATACCAGGGGAGAATAAGATGATACTTTTTTTATATTATTTGTCTAAAACTTATTACACACAACTATTTATACATTAATGGCCATATATAAAAGAATTTTTAACGGTTATTATGTATCAAAGGAGTATTACGGGGGTTATATCGATTTTGTTACAAATAAGGCCATGACTACCTACCTCGTGATACAATAGTTTGTTCCGGGGACCCAAACAAGTTTGGCAGGCGTCTCCGGTTGCTTAGCACTGTTTGGGAAAGTGAATGGTCCCGCCCTGTCAATCATTCCCTAAACCACGCCCCCGCAACAGGTGTACCATTCACCTCAACCCACATTCCACCTGTGCACAACCAGTTCCAGAACTTTGCGGCACTTTTTACTTTGTAGACGGTATAAACACAAAACAACGGATCAAAAGTGACCTAAATTTTCTTTCCCCACCAGGTAAGGGACATCTATAGAAGTGGTCACAGCACCAGTTTTAGGTGTATTATGTTTAAGAACACTTATGTATTTACAGAGGCTCTTAGGTCCGTTTGAGTGAGAGGTATTACCTGAATAGAAGCCCTTGAACCCACTTAAAACAATTCAATACAAACAAAATCCAACCAATATTATCTCAAACCTTCATGTGGAGAGTTTAATTTGTCCATAGGTTTATATTTGTTTTCACGGTATTTGCTGAACCCAAGAATAATTCCTATCAGTGATTCTTTCCACGCAAAGAAAATTACATTTAGAAATACATTTTCCAAGTCAGTGGCTTGAACAAGTTAAAAGCCACTTTGGCGAGGCTTGAAGTTCAAAACTTTACACTTATTGAGTTTGAGAAGGGGTACGTCCTATCGGCCCCAACAAGGGCTCACCTTCCATTCCTGCATTGTTTTGGATACATCCTGTGGGTCCTGTCATCGCATAACACCAAACAAAGGGATGGTCACGCACAAATGGAAGTTTGTAAAACCGCCTTTTCTCGCTTTTGTCGTTGTCACCAATACCGAGTCCATTTCACTTGTAGTGCGGAGGCCTCCTATGGAGAGGTGGAATTTCGAGTGGCTTTGTAAATATCACTCGATAATGTTACTTGGCACATAGATCTCTGAGGCGATTGTTTTAATTTTCGAAATTGGAGGCATTCGACATACATTGATAGCGCAGTATGTGTTACAGGATAGCAGTCTTGAAATAAACTTTCTCTGTACAATAAGAGAGCAAGTTTTGTCTGAGAAAGAAATTTGTCTTGGCGAAGCATGACAAAGAGGTTTTGCAGGTCAGTGAGAATATACTAGAAAAAGTTCTCCCGCAGAGCGTTGTTGTTGCCAACTTTCTTTCCCCCACTGGACCAAAACGTTTTTATTGTAGAAGCAATAAAATAAAAGGCAAGTTTGAGTATATGTTAAGGCAGTATTGACTTTAAACATAAAGGCACGGTTGTAGACTTGAACTATTATTATATTTACTTTCTGTATTGTTTTGTATTTTATATGCATGTGCAAATAAGATAAACAAAATAAACTAAAACATTTCTGCATTTTACTACATTTATTTCGAGAAGCCACCAAAACTGAAAACTTCAAAAGTTTGCTGCTGAAAATTACAACTCTGTTCACCTCCCAAAACCCAATTGTTGCTGAAAAAGTGAGACACATTGTCTTCCACTACTTCCAAAAAAGAAGTAAAACCCCAAAAGCTTATACATGTATTGTATTCCGCAACAATTCTTAGAAGTCACTAGTTTAACTTGTCACCAGTTTGCTTGCTCATTTATGTTATTGTTGTTACTGTTTCTATAATACATTTTCGGTAAACATATTGTTTTTGCTCTCCTTCTCCAAATAAGCTCAATGACCTGAACCAGACGTCTGTCACCATGGTAACTAGTCTTGGGTTACATTATGTTGCAGTTTTATAGCAGGAGGGATTTAGACTCCTGGCACTATATAATATTAAATGAATGTGTTTGAGTAAGAATTAACAAAGCAGACTATATGTGAAGGTAAACATTATGCTTATTGCAAATGTTACCTTCCTAGTTTCATGTTGGAAGTAGCCCTTGAAGTTGCAAATAAACTCTACTGCTGATAGTACATGTATGGAAAAAAAAATCCCGAACAACACAAAAGTCCTTGACATTGGATTGTTAAATCTTTCATGGAATCATCCCACTAAAAACATGACATATCCTCCTTTGTTATGCAACAAAGAGAATAAAGCCGTCACTCAAGTCCACGAGGGGTGTCAATACCTTTACGCAGCTCGCGTGATCAAAAGAATCGGCGTACGGCAAAGCCACGAGGGTCACAAAGATATAATAGACGTGCCTTGAAAACGATACTCTTCCTGACATACCGTCATAACTCATTCTTGTCTCCACACAAAAAAGAACAACTCTGGGAGTACAGGAATAACAGACAGAGGACAATGGAACACAAAGGATCCAATTTTTAATAGAGGAACACACAGTATACCTTTATCATTTATTCATACGCACTCAAACATGAACAATAAATACATCTCCTAAGGGCAGGATGTTGCCCATTCATGCATGTCTGTTATCACATCTGCATGGTGTAACACATCCTGGTAACTTTTCACTCTGGGGATTTCAGACTATAATACAGCATTTATGTTTTGTTAAGCTTGCAAACCAAAGCGACAAGTAGCTGATATTATCTCATAGCTCCTATGAGAATACTGGTATATCACTTGGAGAGGATATAATTTTTTTTATTATGTATATATCCTAAAAATGTAATCCTCTCAAGAGAGTTAGTGTGGATGACAACATATGCCACTAATACTAATTGCATACATACATGTACATACAATAGAAGTCTTTTGTACCAGTAAACATTTGTGGGTTTAAACTTAAACCTGAACTGTTTTCTCAATTCTGTGGACATACAGCTCTTGTATTTGGGCTTACACAACAAACTTGGGGCTTAACCCTCTAGGTGTTACATAAATTTGCATACATTTTGAAAGCCTGATGAGAAAATCGTTTTTAACTGTCAAACTGCACATCTTGGACTTGTTTTACAAGTCATTACAAGTTACTGTAGTGGTACCAAATAGTAGTACTCAGTGGTAGAGAGAACATGCATATCTTTATATCATATCTTTTTGTTATAAGGTATACATTCACTTTGTATTGGACTTTGAATTTTTAACCCTTGTCCTGCGGCGCCCAACAATTGTTGTTTTGCACATACAGTACCATCTATATAACACAGTCTGTATACAGTATAGTTACGTTTTGGGAGTATTTCTCGTGCAACGCATCACACCGCAGCGGAACGCAACAAATGTAACAAAAGTACATGTAACTACGCCACCACAGGGCAAAAAAAGTCGGGGGTCTATGAACTGGTTAAGACATGAAATGATTGAAAAATATTGTGTAAAAAATGCCAGCAGGACAAGGCTAGCCTAAGGGTAATTAAAATTGGTGAGAAATTTGACATTTTCAGTGTATTTCTGAATTGACGGTGAACAATTCTATCACATGGAAGACGAATTTGAAGAGGTAATTATGTTTACCGAAGGAAAACATATTGTTTCTGCTACGTTTTCTCTTCTTCTTCTCCAAACAGTGACTTCTGACCTGGTTTTGGGTTGGGTTACATAATGTTGCAATTTTATAGTAGGAGGGATTTAGACTCATGTCACCATATATGTGGTTGTGTTTGAGTACAAATTAACAGAGCAGACCATATGCAAAGGTAAACATTATACACTTGCTTTGCAAATGTTACCTTAAAAAGTAGTTTCTAGTGTTTTGTTGAATTTATGGGTCTTTTCCGGAGCGTTGGCGTGTTCTGGCGTAACTGACGCTGAGGGAGCGGTTGAGTTTGGGTTCGCGCTGGTGGTAGTGTCCGTTGAAGTCCAGGCGGAAGCTGAGGAAGCGAAGACTCGGGTCGGAATGCTCGTTCAGCATCAGCAGGAAGTTTTGAACCATGTCCTGGGGGAGGGGGGTAGAAATATGAACATTAAAATACATTTGAAATACAGAAGACCAGGCCTCAAAATTAACCGTTTTTACTATTTTCCCAGAAATGTCCCAAACATAGATTTCAATTGTCCCGAACTGAGGATGGACTGTCACAGCCTGCTTTTCAGGAAATAAGTTTATGACAACAATAAGAAAACAACGACAACTGAATTTGTACAACATGATAGTACATGTATCATGGGCATGGCACCATCTTTGAGGCCCCCCTACAATGATTGGTCAAATTTAAATGTTTGATCTTTTGAACATAAATTTGAGTATTATGGGCTGCTGGCAGCCCGCAGCAGGATGGATGGATCGCCTTCCTAAATGACGTGGACGGTCTTAGAATTTTCCAGTTGAACCAAAATTGTCGCAAAACGTAATTTGAATTGTCCCGAGCTGAAAATTTAGTGTCATTTGACACCGAGACAATGTTAATTTTGCGCCCTGAAGGCTACTGTAAATTAATCTATTTTTGTAGGCATTTGGGGGTAGAAGGGGAAAGGAGTTTTTTGAAGTTGCAAGAACTGTGTAGCAATTAATGGAAATGTATATTCCAGATATGTAATGATCTCACATTGAAAATGAAACCATAGCAAACATTTCAAGATTTACAGAATTCTCTTCAAAATACAGTATCGTCTTTTCAAAATAAAGTCTCATGTCTTTACCTGGTAGGACTGTGAAATCACCCTTAGCTGAGAAGTAGTTTTGGAGAGGAACTTGTCACGGAACTCCTCCATTCTTGTGTTCTCCTCTTCCTCGTCCAGTTCTGTCACTCCCCATTTTCCCTGTTGAGATAAAAAAACAAATGTATTTAGCCATTCAATCATGATAAGAGAAAAAACAACACTTGTTCAAGTTTCCTGTCATACATATTATTCATCTACTGCTGCAACACTACATTGTACATGTAGTGTTCACTTTATGTTCGCAGTAGCAAAAGTTTGTGGTCTGAGAAAAATGGACATGATTGCAGAACTAACATGTTTATGGTGGTAGCAGGAGCAGAAAAAAGAAAGTCGGCGAATCATTTAAAATTCGTTAATGGAAATGGTAAGTTCACTGTAAAGTGACAGCAAACATGAAAGTACAGCGAAAAAATTGTGAATTACAGTATCATGCCAGGGGCAGTTACACTTGATGACCTACACACAATCAGATACAACTAAAGTAAGGCTCCTTGAGCACAGAAGGATATGCTGTACCCATAACAGTTTACAATGTACAAATATGTATGTGTTACCAGTTACCACAGCATACATGGCATTTATAGTCTTCCCTTTGAACCTTGCTCTCTGATCATATGACAAGTCAACCTTTTCCCTCTGACCTTGTAATCCATCTGACCCCTGCCCTGACCTTGTAACCCATCTGACCCCTGCCCTCTGACCTTGTAACCATGAGCCTGCCCTCTGACCTTGTAACCCATCTGACCCCTACCCTGACTTTGTAACCAATCTGACCCTGCCTTCTGACCTTGTAACCCACCTGACCCCTGTCCTCTGACCTTGTAACCCATCTGACCCCTGCCCCTGCAACCCATCTAACCTCTACCTCCTGCGTGTGCAACCCATCTGACCCCTGCCCTCTGACCTTGTAACCCATCTGACCCCTGCCTTGGCCTTGTAACCCATCTGACCCTACCCTCTGACCTTGTAACCCATCTGACCCCTGCCTTGGCCTTGTAACCAATCTGACCCTGCCCTGACCTTGTAACCCATCTGACCCCTGCCCTCTGACCTTTTCTGTGTTCTCCTGGATCCTGCGGAGGAACCTGAGCCTGAGGTTCATCTCCTCCTCTGCCTTCTTGTACATGGTGTTCTCCGCTGACTGAAACTTGATGATCAGGTCGAAAATGGTCCTCAGCTGTGTGAGAAGTTCCTAAAAAAAACAGAGGGTTGACAATAGTTCTAACACTGCAATATGAGTGATAACTATGATGTCACGGCCAGCACTTGGTAGGCAAAAACCGGTGACAGTTGGGTGACTTGCCTACCAATGATTTTGGTATGTTTTGAAATAACTAGCATGTACATGATGTACATGAAGTCCTTTCTTCCTAGTTCTTAAGTTTTTCAATGTAACAATGCAATTTTGTTTCATTACAAGTTCAAAATCTATCATTTTAAATATAAACCAGCCTGGTATGTTCACTTCATGGCTCAAATTGTAACATTTCTGGCTATCATGGGGTGCCTTGGCCTGTTTTTTTTTTTGCCCTGTCGCTCCTGATTTTAAAAAAAATCTGAGAAACAACAAAATAAATTGGTGTGGCCAAACCATAAAACATCCAGTATATAATTTATAAAAACACTTTTAGTGAGTTCCCTACCCTGGATTCATCATCCAGTAAGCAGTGTTGTATGATGGCATCCAGGAAGACTTGATGAGAGGCGATCACATGGTCAAGGTCAGGCGATTCCTTCACTTTCTTCCACAGCTCGTCCCAGGAACACTCCAGAACCTAGCAGTAACATTTACAATGGGAACAAACAGGATGTACAAACTTTGAGATAACTTTGAAACACTTCTGGAGCGCAGAATGTACTGCACCTGCTCGAAACCCATAATATATGTGCATAGCACTTTGGCAGAACGTCTCATATAATGTCGTATTCGCGCAAAAAAAGTTAACGTCCAGTCTGTAGTTTCCAAATGTTATGTAAGAAAAGATATCTCCTGTAATAGGGAAAATTCTGAAGCAACCTTGACCAAAAATCCAGCGAAAACCGTGAGAAATGGGGGTTTTGCGCAGGTGCAGTACGTTCTGCCGACGTGCTCTTCTGGAGCATCCTGTCCGCAAGGTCATGTGACCAAAAAAGTGGGTCAGTCATCCTGAGGAAGACTGTAGTGTCTGTATGGATTTGTTTTTTTTGGTTCATACTGTTTGCTATCACAATGAATATAGAACCTTTATCACATCTTTTGTCCTAGATTACATATTGAGGAAGTCAAGTCAATTTACATAAGTTTTCAGGCTATCACTGTATCAGCTACATAAACATCTGAAAGCCTGACCTACCTCAAATGTGATGTAGTATTGCATCTGGTTGATGAAGTGCACCATCTCAGAGGACAGGGTGTGGCAGCGGTGGAGTAGGGACGCCAACTCTGATGGAGGGAAGAACAATTTACTTATAGATAATCCATCATTTTTAGTTCTGATTCATTGTTAAGATAAAATAAATGAATTATGTTGTATTTTGCATGCTTCAAGAAAAAAAAAAGATAAAACCCTAACACAAATACACTCCAGAAATCATGTACAATATGACTAATAAACTGGTGGACGTACCAACTACTAAGTACATGTACCTAATACCAGCCCAGAAGAGAACAAGAAATAGCCATGCCTTCAAGTACCAGAGTTATCAACCAAAGATTGAGGTGTTGAAAAACTCATTCTTTCCTAAAACTATCGCAGAGTGGAACTCCCTGTCACCAAGAACTAGTACAGTAGGGGCATTATCACTAGATAGCTTTAAACAACGTTTAGATTTAGATGTCCAAGGGTTATGTGTAACACAACTTCGGTGTATTGTAGCCAGCTGCTGCCGCGCCGTGTGCCTGCAAAGCTAGTGTGTTACACTGAAGGGCCGTTATACAGACTATACAGATACAGAAAGTTACTGTTCTAAACAAATTTTTTCAAAGGAAGTCAGGTACCCATAAATATGCAGTATATAAAAAAAACACAGCAGTACCTGGCACAGTTTTGAGCAGCAGCTTGTGTATGGTCATCTGGTCCTTCCAGATCTCAGTCAGCGTGTACTCCATTCGTTTGGCACGCCACAGGAAGTTGAAGACTCGCAGGTACTGGATCTTGGTCTCCGGCGTGAAAACCGTACTGATGGGTCCGTCCACGTGATAATCCAGACTGAACACATCCCAGCCACAGTCTCCTGGAGAAACCTAGGAGAAATTCAAGGCAAATTGTTAGCACGTTGGCAGAACGTACTGCACCTGTGCAAAACCCCAATATTTCACGGTTTTTGTAGGAAGTTTGGTCAACAAAATTGTTGCATCAATATTTTGCCTGTTTCAGATTATATATTTTCCAACATAACATTTGGAAACTACAGACGGAGTGTTAACCTTATATGCACGAATATGACCTTATTACAGACGTTCTGTCAAAGTGCTATGCACATTACATTACGGGTTTTGCACAGGTGCAGTACGTTCTGCTGACATGCTCAAATTGATGGGCCTAGGAAAAAAAAAATTGTTTCCTCTGAAAAAAAATTAAGATCGGTAGGTAGGTATCTTTTTTTCTTTCTTTTCCTTTTTAGACTTTGGCGATCTCTAGTGATCCAACTTATACACTACAGCTTAACAAACTTACATTTTTGTCAATATTGGATAACCGACTGTACACTGTTTCCTTGCTCAAGCAGCTTCTACTAGCCTACTATCGTTCTACTATCTTCGATCGCGACTGCTGCCTACCTCCAGGAGTCGCACGTCTATTCTCTTGAGGATGTCAGGATCATCAAACTGTGCATTGGTGGCCCTGATAGCAGTCTCCAGTATACCTGTCAGGTTGTGTAGGTACAGGGTACTGGCTGGCTTGTTCAGGTCTGGTCTGGAGGAGGGAAACAACTAGTCAGTAATGTATGTTTAAAGTTAAGACTTTTGGTCCAACACAAAAAATTCTCTCACCTAGAGCTTTTGACATAGAGTCACCCTGACATTTTGTTTCACTTGACACTGTAAGGATTTTAGACACTGAACAAGACTATTTCTTGAGAGGGGTGAAGGAAGCCATTTACATCAGGGCCCATCACCCTACATTGAACCACGACGGGGGCCGACATCGTCTACAAGATACCTTTGACCCAGTGTTGACGTCACACTTCAAAGAAGCCACGTGACATGCTTCACTGGGTCAGTCTACTGAGGAAGACCACTGAGTGACTGGTCGAAAGCTGTAGGTGAGAAAATTTTGTGTTGGACCAAAAGTCTTATATATATATTAACTTTAAACATGTAACTACCAACACAGATGAACTTTCCTGATAGTATAGTCAGTAATGTACACTGGTCAAGTACACTGGTCAAGTGGTAAGCAATGCTGCTTTACGCCAAAAAAAAAACAGTTAGCTACTCAAGCAACTGGATATGATTTTGGAAATGGTCAGACGTTTCAGGTAGCATCCACTATACTTTTTGTCAGTGACTCTTGTCAGAAATTCAGGTTCATAATCATGGACTATTGATTGACATGGAAATACATGTACACACACTGTAGGTTAAGACAAATTTTTTGTCACTGACGAAAGGTAGTGGATGCTACCTGAAACATCTGACCGTTTTCAAAATCATATCCAGTAACTGTTTTTTGACATATCTTGTTACCTGGATGTCTAACCTTCACCGATGCAGCAATGCTGCTTTACTTGACTTTACTTTAGTTTATGCTGCTTCTGGATTGCAAGGTGATGGTTTTGAAATTTCTGACAGAACTGTCCCTGCAATTTCAGAGAAGGCTGCTAGGGGGCTGAAACATTCATCACAGCCTTTGAAAATCATTGTGAAAATGCTTCTTATTCTTCTTATTCTTTTTTTACAATTTTCCATTCCCTTTCACATTTCTCAAATAAAATACCGGTAGTATGGGTTCAAACACCCCTTATGGCCCTTTGTGATTTGAGTCCAGTAAGATTGCATCACTTACTCCAACAGGTCCATCAGATGTCTGATGAAGTCACCCTGTCCCAGCAGTAGGTACCGTCTCATAGCCTATAGAACAGAGAACGTTAGAACGTCAATGTATTACAATACAGTAGTGTGTGTAGTCCAGTGGTTAGCAATCCTGCCTCTGGACTAAGAGGTTGGGAGTTCAAATCCCGGCTGTTGTCGCTCACCCGACATGCACGCTACTGTTTAGGGTCACAGTCCTTCAGACGGGACGTTAAACCGTGGTCCACTGTTCATTGTGCTTGTCAAAAAGAGCTAGGGGAATTTCCCCGGTACAATGAACCTGTAAATACTGTACATAGAGTCTGTCTTCTCTGTCACAACCAGTGGAAGATTAGCTCTTCAGTGAGCTAAACTGGTTTGAGATATTTCAATAGTCAATGGATACCTAAGTACATTTAATAGTGAAAATTTGACGAAACAAATCAAGAAAACAACACTGTTAATACAGAGGATGGTATGTATGAACCTTGAGATGGTCCATGAACTTGTACTTGGTGTGTAGAATGTCCAGTAGGATGCGGCTGGTCTCTCTGTAGGCCGTGTCAATCACCTGCTGCAGGCTACCATCTACATCCCTCGTAAACAGGTCACCTGAAAAAAATACAACGTATGTACGTCAGGGCTCTAGCCAGCACCAGTTTTTCAGTCAATTACCGGAACTTTGCAGCGTGTAAGGGAAATTTTTTTAAACCAATTCGTCAACCTTGACAGACAAAATGAATAAAACTAGGGTAAAAATATGAAAACATCCGAATGACCACTCTCAACACCATGATTTGCCTCTCAAAATGGGAATTTTTGAAAGTTTTTGAAAGCTTGAAAATCCAAAATTTCCAGGGGGAGAATGCCCCTGGACCTCCCTAGATTCCCAACATCCGTTGATGAATCTTGGCTGGAGGAAAAAGACTTCAAGTTGGCTAGAGCCCTGATGTACGTACAAAATAGCTATAATATATAATTTGCTACATTACTCCTCCACCAGTTTTGCCAAGTTCAGTATGAATTGGTTTAACGTACTGGAAAAATTCCCCTGGCTCTGTCAGCCAAATGCATGGTCCCATGGAGCAAACCTACATTGTGTGTCTGTTTGTAATTCCAGGACATGGATCATGAGTGCCTCCTAGCAGTTGATGTGGGTACTGCAGGTACATGTATTACCTTCTTCCTCAGCCTCCCCAGACTTCACCACTGCCTTGGTCTTTAACGGTGACCTGTCCTGACACACCTGGCGGATGAAGTTGATGGTCTTCCCTATCAACAGGATCTAAGAAGCAGGATAAGACGAGAAAAAAGGACATGACGAGGTTAAATAGGAAAGAAAACATGTCTTATAGTTTTACAAAATTCTTCTCACTTGAAAGGGAAGTGATATTTTTCTTGCTGGAAAGGCGAAAATGTACCCCACATTATTTTTAAGCATAGAACAGAGAAAGAGTTGGTAGCAGAGGATGGAAATTAAATTTGATTCAGCTGGCTTTGTTGATGTTATGTTTTTTATCATGCAACGTGTTACAGATTATCATAAGGCCACACTGATTTAATTTTATGGATGACACCCACACATGCATTGATTTTTACCTGTTCTCAAAAAAAAAAAAATCACATCTCTGGGTGTCAATAGAGAGCCGGTGGTAACTAGGGAGGATGGCACCCAGGTTCCACAGAACTCAAGAACCCAATACAGTGCCGACTCATAAATGCCGCAAAAGGGCAGATGTGCAGGCTTGTCCTAAAAGTTGCTATGTACTACCATAAATTCACAATACCAGCTGTGTATTCCTATGGTTAAGCGGCATTTCTTTTGGCTAATTTACTTTATTCGCCTGCACGCACCAGTTTGGGGGTCTTCAGAGGATGTCACCCATACAATTTAAGTCAGTGTGGCCTGAAAGTTGATTGTACTTGTAGCCTTACCTTGTCAGCCTGTTCCCTCGTGATAAAAGCTGGGATCATAGACTTGCGCAGGGAGTACTTGTCATGCCACAGTCGGTCTTCTTTAACAGTCGGGTCCGAGGCAACAAAATACTACAAACAAACAAACACAAAATCACACAAGACAGTTGAATTTCTATACTATGAAGAACATGTTCAGAAGAATATATTAATTGGTCAAATTGTTTAGGTACAGGTTTAGGTATCTGTACCTAGACCCGTGTACCTGTACCCGTACCTGAAATTTGTTTAGGTACACAGCTCTAGTACAGTTAAAGAGTTCAAACTTGTTCCAACACAAAGAAGGTACTAGATTCTGTCTTCCCGCCACTTTTGATGCACTCCTGACGTCATCACGCTTCTGACTTCCGAAAAGTCAGCGATTGCCTCTCACATCTGATGAAGGTTGACGGATTCAGCCGAAAATTTATGGTGTCACTTCTCTGTGTTGGAAGAAGTATGAACTCTTTGACTATGGATTCTACCAACACAGATGAGCATTCCTTCGAACTCTAGTACAGGTTAGGTACAGGTAGACATTAGAAAAACCAGCATAGCTCCAATTTTACCTGCACCATTACTAGTAACCTGCACATGCAGGTGGTACAAATGTATTTCTATCCCTGCTAGGATAATACAACCTGTAGTTTTTTCACCAAGCCAACAGACCTCCTGATAGTTGTCCTCCAGGTCTCCCTCGTAGATCCACTGTTCCATGATCTCCCAGATGGGCTGAGACACGACGTTCAGAGTGTGTTTCACGAGCGAGCGAAGCGACGGGTCTCCTGTCTGCATGTAGGAGTGGACAACAGACGCCAGCGCACCTCCTTTTTTACCTACAGGAATACATCACAATCATGCTTTAGCAACATTAATATTGTACACAAGTTTTCACACTACAAATTTGAGGCAGTCATGTTGGTGAGGCCTAGGAAAAAAATTCTTGTGTTTCCTGTTTCAGTCCAGAAAAAAATTTTACGTTGGTGCAATGTACATTGTACTGTAGGTATGGATTCTTTTCTTTCCTTTTTTCTTTTTAGACTTTGGCAATCTCTAGGGATCCAACTTATACCAAGGAGCTTTATACAATACAGTTTAACAAGGTAAAAAATTGCATGAGGAAACTTTTTATTGTCAATGTTGGAAAACCCATTGTACAATGTTTCATCACTCAGGTATCAGATCATGGAGCTAGAAAATACAATACATGTATTCAGAAGGTCGATCAGCTCGAAAAATTCCTGTCCCTTGCAGGGGTCCACCTAAAAAAAGGCTAGGGTCAGCAGTTTTTTCTAGGGTCGGTCTGGAAACAGGGAACACAACATTTACTAGGCCTGAACAATGATCTTATCATATAGCTTATAAGAGAAGACTAGAAACTTTCAGAGGTTATATAATGTACTTTTATGCAAAAATAGCTTTAATTACCTTTGCAGGAGTCGACGAGACATGCCAGAGTTTTGAGTCTCTGTAGAGGTTCGTAGGACCACACGACCAGTCTACGCAGGGTCAGCCCACCTCCACTGCCTACACTCACTCCTAAGTCCTGGTCTTGTTGTACCTGCAAGAAGAGTTGAATATCTTTTTCTTTCAAGGGTATAAACTTCCTTCTTTTCCTTGAAATCCACATACAATTAGTACTTTAAGGTGCTCAAGAAGGATAGCTGAGGCATATTTAGAAATACTGCAAAACTCTATCTGATATGGTTGTCTTTTGGGTCTATTTTTATAATTGTCTTTCGTCTTGTCACTATGGCCACATTTTGACCGCCAAATTGAACGCCAAAGTTTGGATTTTTTAAACGCTCCAGCCAGGCCCCAGTGGGGGTGTGCAGATTATTCTTAAGACCAATCAGGCTCGCTTGTCATTACGTAAACTGAGAGCTTCACTTTGGTCAAATGGCCACTGACCACTAAAATTTAGACTGGGACAACTAAAAAGACGCTTCGGAACATTTTGGGACAACAGAAAAATAATCAGAAAGTCAGCCCTTCTTTTGTTTATCAGTCCCCACGAATTTCCCGTCTACTCTGCAATTATAGTACGCCTGGCAGTCAGAACGTGAGCAAAATAAAGTTGACTTCATAAAGTTGAAGTCATACAATACTTCCCGAAAAACAGGTTGGGACAGTTCATCCTTTCTTCGGGACAATTGAAATTTATTTTTGGGACAGTGCTGGGACAATAGGAAAAAAATTAATTTCGAGGCCTGGGCTTTAATGAATTCACCTGCTGTGTCCTGAGGTTACGCTAAAAAAAGTCTTCAGTCCTCACCTGTGCATCGAGCACTGCCACCAGTCTGTAGTACTCTGTGAGTTCATGCTGCAGAGCTGCACAGAAGCTCTGTCCCACCAGCCCCAGGGCCCTGTCTGAGATCTTACTGTCCACAAACTTGCGGATCTTGTTATGCAGCCAGCCTAACTCAGACAACTTCCCTAGGAGATCTCTCCAAGACTGGGGAACTCCAACCTAGGGTACGAAAAAAGAAGATATCAAACTAGAGATGTAACATTTGCAAAGCAAATGGATAATGGTTACCTTCGGACATGGTCTGCTCTGTTAATTCTTACTCAAACACATTCACATAGTACATGTACTACATGTAGCAGTATATGGGGAAAGGAGCAAAGCAGACCATGAAATTGCAACATGATGTAACCCAACACCAGTCCCCATGGTGACAGAAGTCAACAAATCATGTCATTGGTCAGGTAAGAGGTCACTGTTTGGAGAAGAAGAAGAGGAAGAAACTGAGCAAAAACAATATGTTTTCCTTCGGTAAACATAAAAAATAAGATATATGAGTAAGAAAAACCTAGCCATTGTTTAAAGATATCTAGTAAGGCCTAGGAAAAAAATTTGTTTCCTGTTTCAGTCCTGAAAAAAATTAGGGTCAGTAGGTAGAGATTATCTTTTTTTGTCAGACTTTGGCAATCTCTAGTGATTCAACTCATACAATACAGTTTAACAAAGTAAAACTTGCATGAGGACACTTATATTTTCAATGTCAATGTTGGAAAACTGATTGTACAATGTTTCATCTCTCAGGTGTCAGATCATGGAGCTAGAAAAGGTCGGTAAGCTCGAAAAATTTATGTCCCTTGCAGGGGTTCACACCAAAAAAGTTTACGGTCAGCCATTTTTTTAGGGTCAGTCGGAAACAGGAAAGACGTTCATCATCTTTTTCCTAGGCCCCTACTCTGTACTTCGTGGCAATGAGTTCTATTCTATGTAGTTACAGGAAAAAGAAATTTTTGAACAATACAAATCTAAATCAGACCTTGGGATCGATGAGAAATCTGTCAGCTGTTGAAGACATCTTGATAATTTTGCCGTTGATTCCTTGGAAGACAAAGAGGACATCTCGCAACAGGGCAGCTTCTGACAGCTCAAAGGAAGCTGTGGTGGACAAGGAGGCAGAAAATCTCTTAAGAAAACATTCAGTTGTAAAGACATTAGGCAGTGAAGAATTTTCCAGATGTAATACTTGTGGAGATACAAGATTGTACCTGACAGTGGCCTAATTATTGTGTTTACTGAAGGAAAACAGTGTTTTTGCTATGTTTCTTCTTCTCCTTCAAACCAAAAAGGTCAATGACCTGAACCACACGGGTTACATCATGAACTAATGTTGGGTTACATGATTACATCATGTTGCAATTTTATAGCAGGAGGGATTTAGACTCCTGTCTGACCATATGTATATATGAATGTGTTTGAGTAAGAATTAACAGGCAGACTATATGTGAAGGTAAACATTATATAATTTGCAAATGTTACCTTTCTAGTTGCATATTTTAAAATCATCATTGTATCTAGCTTTTTCATCCAGGTCAAAGTTCCTTATAGAAATACTAGTATCACTTTCATTAGCTTGAAAGCTGTATTTCTTGTTAATGTGTTCACATTTAACAAATTCTGATAGATAGTGTTATGATAGTTCATCTGTTGGTAGTTACATGTTTAAAGCTAAAACTTTTGTCCCAACAGAAAGAAACATTCTCACCAAAAGCTTTTGACCAGTCACTCTGGTTTTCTTCAGTAGACTGACCCAGTGAGGCTTGTCCTCTGGCTGAAAGTCTCTCTGGGTACGTCTATTGAAGAACAACAGAGTGACAGATCGAAAGCTCTCGGTGAGAACAATTTTTTTTGGTTTCGAACAAAATTTCTAAGTTTTAAAGGCATCCAGTGCAGTTTTTAGGACTTGAAAACCAGATTTTTCAAAGTCAATATTCTAGTTACTTATCTACATACTAAGTTGAAACAACACTCTCCCAATTGACATTCATGAAGCAAAAATGCCCAAAATTCTGCCAAAAAAAACTGGAAGGACCTGGGTTGATTTTTAGAGTACCACCCAGAAAATAAAGGACTAATCTTGGGGCTTGTTGCTGCCGTTTTTTAAGTGTGAAATACAGATTGCCTGATTTCCGGTTTTGCCACCCTAAAATTGTGTTGGATGCCTTTAACTTAAAATATCAGATTCTGATCAGATAGATACTGACTATTGTCAGCTCCAGGTCTGAGTGAGAGAGAGGCGGTCGCCCTCCCTGATGGTACAGTTGCCACCGACATGTCCCCGTTCCCGAGGTGGGGCTGACTCAGCTGTTGCCGTGACGACAGACTCAGGGCCAGCCTGTTGCCTAGTGCCTGTCTCTGGGAGAGGGACTGGGCAGGGGTGATCCCAGGGGTGGGTCCATAGCTGTAACACAGAGCACAACTTAGTGTAGGCTTATATACATTACGAAAATAATTCCATCAAGTTGGTAAAGTATACGATACAGGAGTTTTCTTTTACTTTTACACAACCAAATTTTTTCCCCTGCGACATATAACTACAAGAAGCAGAACTCAAGTCAGAAGCTCTGAGGAAGGTGTCTGATAGACGTAAGCACTTTAGGTGAGAAAATTCGGTTTTGTAAAAGAAAAATCCTGTATCCTAGGCTTCTATACAGTTACAAACTGATTGACACAAATTATGACACATACATACACAGTACATATTGTCCATTTTTTATTATTTATGTATTTTTTGTTAATGTATATATGTGTAAATAAACAATAGTGTAGTTAAAAAAATGTCTGAACAAGAGCTGTTGGACTTCAGCTTTTACCTCATGCAGTTGGAACCCTGTACATGTATTTGCTTCTTGTGGTGCTACATCAGAGTTGGACAAGTTTTCAAAAATCCACTTTCAAGTTACAAGGTCATTTCCACTCGCCAAACCAACTTTTCACTTGCCCAAAATATACATATATATCTATGCATCTTTACTACCACCAAGGAAATTATCTTAATTTGGAGTTCATAATGTTGGAAGCTTTATTTATCAAAATAAGGTGGTTTGCCTTGCTCCAACACCATAGCAGCTGGAAGTCTAGGGGCACATGCACTTGCCCGAACGAAGTACTTTTACTTGCCCTGCTGGGCAAGTGGGCAATTGGACTTGTCCAATACTGTTGCTACATTGTACTAATACCTAGCTGGGAAGGACTGAGGAGTAGGTGTAGGATCACTCCTGTCTGCTGTGTGGATACTGCTGATGTACTTACCTAGCTGGGAAGGACTGAGGAGTAGGTGTAGGGTCACTCCTGTCTGCTGTGTGGATACTGCTGATGTACTTACCTAGCTGGGAAGGACTGAGGAGTAGGTGTAGGATCACTCCTGTCTGCTGTGTGGATACTGCTGATACCACTGCTCCCTGTGGTGTCCCCACCAGGCATGGGTGTGCGCAAGGGACCAGGCATCCCGGGCACATGTTGGAAAGGTGTGGAGGTGGCATCTGTAGGGAGACCCTGCCCAAACAACGCCTCTCCTGCTGTAATCTAGTTAACAAGGGAACATACATGTGAACAACAGAGGTAAATTGCACCAAGGGCATGTTTTCTAACATTGACATTGTCATTCTAAATTTCTGATATCATGCAGTCAGCATAACTGATGAGATCAGTGAGAAACTGTTTCAAAGACTGTCAATTAGTTAACATTCAAAATCTTGAAATATCATAAAATGACTTCAATATGTAGGTTAAAGCCTTTGTTTAGATACAAAATTTGAGAACCGGTAAGATTTTAATTGTTTTAGAAACTTTATTCCATGTAACAGTCATTGAGAAAGATGTCTAATTCATGAAATTTGTATTATTTCAAAACACACAGAACTTGCAGTACTATCTACAACCACCAGGAGTCCTCGTGACACTTAAAACAATACTGCTAAAAGGTAATTTAACTAGAGTGAAACATGACACTACTATACCTTGATTCCTGGTCTGTCTGGACCATGGCTCAGGTTATACAGCAGGTAAAGGATGGCCCATCTGTTCTTTACTACATTCTGTGGGTGGGAGGAAAAACATGGTTGACTTCATCATCATTGACAAATCTTACATCCAAATGTTGTTTCTGTAGTTGCATGCAGCTCTATACTGTCTTGCAAAAATTACTGGCAAGATAAAATGCTTATATCACTTCCTGATTACATTCCTACGTACTGCATACCTACAGGATTGTCTTAGATCTGGTGTTGAAACACTGTGCATGGAACAAGTACAGCTATTGTATATTTGTACTAGGAAGGTAACATTTGCAAAGCAAATGATATTCACCTTCGCATATTGTCTGCTCTGTAAACTCTCATATATACCGGTATGGCCAGACAGGAGTCTAAATCCCTCCTGCTATAACATTGCAACATGATGTAACCCAACACCAGCTACCATGGTGACAAACATTTGATTCAGGTCATTGACCTTATTTGTTTGGAGAAGAACGGGAGGAAACAGAGCAAAACAATACGTTTTCCATCTGTGAAGGTAAAAATAATAAAATACATTCCAGAAGTTTGCAGTAAGTTCTCACATTGCTCTGAAGTTTACGGTGCAGTTCTGCAAATCTTGCTGCATCCCCTTCTCTTCTCTGTTTCACCACTGCAGGAAGAGACAATCATGAATACCTTTATACAAATCATTTTAATGTAGCATATTAAGAATTTCAAGTCTTGAACCATATCTCTGATATTGTGCATAACATAAATATCTAACAGTTTAAACTCAAGCCAAAATATGTGTTCATAAAATGTCCATACGATTATGATTGTGTCCTAAATTTATTTTTAGCATCATTATAACAAAATTTCATTATCACACTTTATTGATGCACACTACCAGGGTTTAGCCTGTTTCTGATAAACAAAACAGACAAAAACTTTAACATTTAAGTTAACGTTACATGTCAGTGAAATCTTACATTTCCTCTTGATTCTCTCTGCCAGCTGGAATTCATCACTTTCAACTGAAGGGGTAAAATGGCTGGAAAACAGGGGATAACTCATTGGTTAGAGCATTATGGACACCTTTAAAGTTGACAATTGAGCTTTAGAATATAATAATTAAACTTAAAGCCAAACTTTCAAACTTTGGTTTTTCATATTTTTGTATTGTGATTCAATTGATGTAAACAATGTAACACACCTACAAGTAAATTATTTGTATCTTCTAAGAAAGACAACTTGTTACACAAACTGTAGTGCATGGATAGTTTACTAGGATTCTAAGGTCACTGATTTTCTTTGTGGCTTTCTGATATGTGTTTTCTTAGTTATGATTATTAACAAAAAATGTTACATACAGAATGAGAATGTTATAAGTGCACAATACCATATAGCAATCATGTCATTGTGTACCTCGTCTTCCTGCTATCTTTTTCCATACTCTATATATTTTATTCAGTTGTAAATTAACGTTGTTTTTGTTCATTTTGAAAACTATGATTCTCATGATTAAGTTTTAAAGCTTACCTTCCCAACACACGTAAGGCGTACTGGAACTGTGGCGAAACGTCGTCTGCAAAACAAACGTTAGCTTTAGTCAATAATGACATCTTAAATGTCTCCTATGACGAACTATTATCTTTAAAAATCCGATCCAATTTTTCATAATTTGCAAGAACCCCTCCCCTTCATAATTTCTACACAACAAGAGCATGTTCCCGCCGTTTTACCTTCTTTCTTCTCCGTGATTCTACAAACCAGGCTGTGTAGAAGGCCCGCTGGACTCTTCATGTCTACCTTAGACATTGTCAAGACCCAATGTTGAGCCTCTGTGGAGAAATAAGATAAATCGATCACTGATGACAAATTTAAGTCGGCTTCGGCGCCATTTTGTTTTTACCCGCCAAGAGCTAAAAATTGTGCTAAGGGACAATCCATTAAGGCAGCTAGGGTTCTATTTCACGATGAAAACTTCCTTCGTCATTGTTCTGAACAAAGCAAAATGTTGCTGAGATTTGAACTAAAACTTTAAGAATTATGATTTGCGTTTCGTTTGTGATATTAAAATCTATAAAACCTCAAATACTGTCAGAGAAAAGACAAGGTACATCCACCCCTTTTTCTGGATAAGTAATGTGTTTTCCCTAAACAGAAAACGCACGCAAACGCATAGGCAAACATTACAATTATTTTGTTTTTGGATAAATACGTACTCATCATAGCACAAAATGATATGAAATATGCAATAATGTAGATTGTACAATTTATGAATCTTTTATAATGTGTATATGGTGGCGAAAAGTGGTCCGATTTGTTATGTTTATTGTATGGAAGGGGAACCATTTCGATGCGTTTGGGTCTCCACTTCCGGGTCGTAAATGAAGAGTTCATTTGGTGCCAAGTTGCCAGACGAAGCGACCAGGAAATACATTTTCAACGGGAAAAAAGATCTTCATTATCGATCGAGTCTGGACTTGAACGACCGCTCATTGTCTGCTAAGACGCCCGGGAGCCATGTCCTAGCATCTGTGGGGATTTTGTGAGGGGCCTGTCGCGATGCAGAATTTCGCCCGACGGTCTATCAGGAGAATCGGAAGAAGTGTGGTACGTGTCAACTTGGGTTCTTTTCTTCGATTTTCCGTCTTGTAGAAGCTCTCCTTTCTCGTACTTCCCTCTAACAATCTCATCAAATACAGGAGATATAGAATTCTTGGCAAAAATTCGAAAAACGACAGCGGATATGTTTAAAACCCCAGTGATAACCAAGTATTAAGGTACCTTAACGTTACTGGTACATGCACAGGTGTATGTATGTAGGCTCAGTCTGTGGTGATATCTGTTGCACCAAGCAGATGTCACCGTTATCTGGTTAGAGATCGTGTGGCCTACTTTCCACAGGTTTGTATGAGCTGGTTGAACGGAAAAACACAGCGTTTGCATTTAGCTTTAGCTTAAATACAGTACCATTCAGTATTAGAATCAGTTCTCACGGGTATTATAATATGAAGCATACAGCCTACTTAAAATTCAAGCAAAATAAAACATAGTAGCAATTCAAGATTGTTTGAACAGAAAAGCCCTTCCTATGTGAAAACAGTATTTTTGTTGGCTTCCTTGTGATGTTAAGAAGCATTTAAAATTGTTTTGATTTTAAAACAAAGTGTATTGCTTATGTGCACAGTTGAGGATGTCATATGTTTTAACATCTGTTAAACGTAAGCCTTCAGTCCTGTGTTTTGGGGCATCAAACCTCTTAACACAAAATCAAGAAGAGCAGGGTTTGGTCAAATTATTGGGCAGAAATTCATTCCCTCTATTATGTTACTCAATAAACAATGATCAATGATATGTTTAAGGTATGTAAACTAAACAAGAGTTGCCATTGTTCAGGTCCAGAAAGCGTGGTTTGAATTTTTCTCTTATTTTGTAGAAACATGGACTTTGCACTATTGTTTTAACCTGGGTGTGAACCACTCTACCAGGTCAAAGTCTGTAACTTTGTAAGGTCATTGGCCTAACAAGATAATTATAAGGTGTGTTATACTTATAGGGTACCTGAGTAAGGCTGTGTACACGTACATGTACATTCGTTAGGCATAGGGAAGAAAATTTTGTGTTTCCTGTTTCAGTCCAGAAGCTAAGTTTCAGTACCTTGACAGAGTTGTAAGAAACAGGAGGCGAGCAGTAGAAACAGATAAAAACCCTCCTGGTTCCGGGTCGGGGTTTGAACCCAAGACCCCCGGGCGCCAGCTTACAATCCGACGCTCCTACTGAATCAGCAAAGGTCTAGGACCATCGGCCAGGTCAGTTGGTAGTGCCTATAAACCCCCCACGGTTATAGAGTCACCATACATTTGTAAATATTTCTAATTTGTAGAATTGTACCACAAACGTTACTTATTTCAGTCAGTATTGTTGCAAATGTGAACTTACAACACAGCAAAAATTTCCTTTCCCCTTCTTCATGTGCCATGAAATCAAGTCTCTGTGAAAATAAATGAATTTACCATAACCCGCAGCACTCAAAAATCAGGCCATTTTCTTTCTAGGGCAATACATACATGTATGTATACACACTGTAATATAAGCCCTGCCAATTAATTACTATGGGAACTGTGTTTGAAATTCCGTGGGCTCAGTTCCTCATGGAATCATAAAGTACTTCTGAGAATCAGAAAGCGCCCTGCAATTTGGTCTTGTTTTAAAAACACCAAAAAGCTCTGAAGATTTCAATACACAGAATGTAGTTAAGTGGTTGTTAGATTCAAATAAAGGTAAGAATCACGTTCTTTTACTTGTTTCTTTCATGTTACTCATTTATATTAATTCTTACTAGTAATGTTATGACTAAATATGATGTGTGAAATTTAATGTATCTTTTAAAGAAATTTGTATTTGAGTTATCTCTTTCTTTCCTTTGTAATAACGTAGTCAATAATTTGTAGAAAAAGTTTTTCCATTTCATTTTCATTCCATCTAGTCCTTTTCTGTTTCCTTTAATTTCACCTTGGTTTTTCCTTTTGTTTTTATTTTCCGTTTGTGTCTAACAAAAACGGACTGCAGTGATCGAAAGCTCCCGTGTTTGGTTCTCGTTGGAAGTGCGTGTTTGTTGGTTGGTTGGTGAAACGTTCTTGTGCCGTGAGCGGAGATATGAAGAAGAAGACAAATAAGGTATGGAGCGTAATCAAATATGCATAATTAGAAGGTCTAATATAATATATGTATCTGTTTCCAATACACACAACTGTTAGTGTTACTCCAATCTCTCAGTATCTGTATCTATCTGTATCTGTATAGCCGGTAAACCGCCTTTCGGCGTAACACACCAGCTTCGCAGGCACACGGTGTGGCGGCAGCTGGCTATATTATGTACCGAACGACTTGTTACACCTAACCCTTGAACATCTAACTCTAGACATTGTTTAAAGCTCTAGACATTGTTTAAAGCTATCTAATGACAATGCCCCTACTAGTACTGTACTTGGTGACAGCGAGTTCCACTCTGCGATAGTTCTAGGAAAGAATGAATTCTTGAACACCTCAATCCTTGGTTGATAACTCTGGTACTTGAAGGCATGGCTAGCGCTATTTCTTGTTCTCTTTGAAATATTCACGTAACAACATTTCATTGTGTACACAAATATTATACCTTGAGAGCCATATACACACCGACTACTGTACACGTAGATGCACAGATATGTATTTATAATGTATATCTTAAAATTACTTGTAGACATATGCAAACTCAGTTCTTTATTTATGCATACCTTCAAAGCTGATACACACAGATTACATAATGCATGGTCACGATTTTCATTAATGCAAAGACACATTCACTTGTATATAGTAATTAGACATACCTTCAAAGCTATGCACGCTAATAGATGCACCTTATAATTACTAGTGTTTATCAATCACCCAGCTTTAATTATTATTTACAACCAAAGGAATCTAATTATCACAAAGACACAACAATACACAGTATAATGTAGCAGAAATAGGGGATATGGCGCAAAAGTGCTGATGACTTCAGTGGAATCTTGGAACTTGTATTTTAGCCAGTGTCTGTCTTTCTGTGATTTGACGGAATTTGCCACTCATGCCAGACAAAAATCTGACAAACATGGAAAGATATATGTCATTAAACCTAAAGCTTAGTCTTACCATGGCACCAGTCTACCACTGACTGAAGGAGGCTATATATAATATAGTCAGTACCAGCAAAAATACTTGTGTATCTGCCTCTCAAAAGAGTCAAATACAGCAGGAAATAGCATTTCAGAGGGTCAAGATTTTCCCTAGGATTGTCACGCTCAAAATGCGACCCCTTGCACCTTCAGCAATCTGTATCATGTTACGTCAAACACAATTAAGATAACGTTAACAGAAAAAGAATTCAGGCTGGATAGAACACTGGTTTGAATCCAGGTACCGTATCTGTATCTGTATAGCCGGTATAACCGCCTTTTGGCGTAACACACCAGCCTCGCAGTGACGCGGCGCGGCGGCAGCTGGCTATATTACACAGGTCAACTTATTACATCTAACCCTTGAACTTCTAACTCTAGACATTGTTTAAAGCTATCTAATGACATTATGCCCCTACTGTACTTGGTGACAGCGAGTTCCACTCTGCGATACTTCTAGAAAAGAATGAATTCTTGAATACCTCAATCCTTGGTTGATAGGAATCTTAACTGAAGTCATCTTATTGGCAATTTCAAAAATTTATACTCTAAATTTAGAACACAGTGAGAATCTGTTGTACTTTTTGGATGTATAGCCCAGAAGAGGTAAATACTTTGAACCTAAAGCTTGAACACATCAATCCTTGGTTGATAATTCTAGTACTTGAAGGCATGGCTATTTCTTGTTCTCTTCTGGGTTGGTATTACTATTAGGTACTTAGTAGTTGGGACGTCCACCAGTTTATTAGTCATTTTGTACATCATGCATATAGTCTGGACATTTTTCTTCTGTCTTAATAAGTAATATCCTTTTGCTCTTCTTCCACCAAAAAAAAGCAACCTGGAGGCATACATGTATCTCTCTTGACAATAGTTGTTACCTCTGTTCTATTGACTTATAAGCTTGGACAGAGTTTACCCTCAAGAGGGAAAGGCCTCGAGCTGTCTCACTTACCAATTTTGTAACCACAATGAGATATTCCCCTCTTGTCTGTAATGCTTTACAGATGAGAAACCGTCATTGCTCATAATGAAAAACACAAGATGACATTTTGGAAATGTCCTGGCGTAGTAGGGCAGGTACATGTAATTAGTCTGCTGTGGTCGCACCATTTGTCAAAAGTGACAGTTCAACATGCACCAATACTTCATGCCTTGAAACGTGAATTTCAAACTTTGAAATGCGACCTCTACTCTAAATCTTCATTTATTGTAGCAAGCAACAATATACAGGTAGACCAATTGCTGACTAGTATTATAGGTCTTGCTATTGTATTTAACATACGTACTACATGTACGTTCAAATGTATGATGTGTATAAATCCAATGTTGTTTTTCTATATGTTTTTATTGATGTACAATTTGGGGTGGGATCTGGAAAAGGTGCTTCACCTGTTCTCCCTCCCCTTCCACATATCTGGTGGAAAATTTTAATAAACAAATAAACAAATTTATAGAAGTACAAAATATAAATTTTAATATCATTTAGTTACTGTGGCGATAGATGTTCTTGTCCCCAAAGAGGGCATTCAGCATTTAGTAGCACTGTATTCTTTTACAAACTGAAACATTGTAAACTTAAATAAATCAACCAGTAGGTCTGAGATTCGATGGATTCTGGGCGCCAGTCCCTGGATAGATAATGTCTGCTCCAGTTGCTGCTACTAGGAACCATACATTTTGCACATCCAGATTGGGAGGTGGTATATCGGAACTATTGGAGCGGACATAAAGTATGGCATCCAGGCTAATTCATCTGTAAAACAGCAACTAGGGGACAGGCTGGATGTAGCCTCCTGTGCAGGCCTCCTGGAGGGTGGGATCAAGTTTTGATACTGCGTTTTGTAGAATTTTTAATGCGTTCTTCAATCAATCAATCAATTAATCAACCAATCAACCAATCAACCAATCAATCAATCAATCAAATGATTTTATTTGTGAAAACGTAGAATAACTTGTAGCTGTTGGCTAAATTATGTCTTGCTGTACAGTTTGCTTTCTTAATATTTCTGGCATAAATAATTAAAATCTATTACAAATGAACATACTAATATGAAATACTAACAAACATTTACGGTATTATGGAGGAAAGACTAAACATCCTAGTTGACCACCCTAACATAGTTATGAAAAGTTGTTTGGGCAAATTACAGTTCATCACTTGAATATCATAATATAGTTGTCAGCCATCCTACATTTGTACAACCAGCCACCCCATGGCGCGTACAAACCCCATGGCTGGTTGTAGGATGGCTGGTAAAAGAAAGCGTTAAAAATTGTACAAAAACGCAGTATCAAAACTCCCACCTGCCTGGAGGCCTGCACAGGAGGCTTGGCTGGATGGATGGATGGAAAAAGGGCAGACCACAAATCTTGAAATTTCCTGTCATTTTATTGTTTGAGTACTCATTTTACAGTTAGATATTAAACTAAGCATTTTGGACAAAATTTTACAGGTAAGGCACCCCTTCTAAGATTGAAGGAGCACATCTTAATAATGGCCTTTGGAATATATTAGAAAAATATACCGGGGTAGACAATGTATAGAATATACAAATAGATATGAGTCAGTATGACAGACAATGAATAGAATATACCAAAATATATGAGTCAGTATGACACACACAGACACTGATTTATTTCATCATAATATCTTGTACGGTAACCTTTTTGTACAAACCTCACTAACCATGCAGCATCGAGAAAACTCAGAATCACCTGGGAGGGAAAAGAACTCGAAAACACCCCACACCCAGTGTACCTTGGTGTCACCCTTGACAGGACTCTGTCCTTCAGAGAACACGTCACCAAGCTAAGGAAGAAGGTGTCTGCCCGTAACAGCCTTCTCTACAACCTGGTAAACTCCAGCTGGGGAGCGGACCCCAACACCCTCAAGCAGACAGCACTGGCTTTGTGCTACTCCACTGCTGAGTACTGCGCCGCAGTATGGGAGAGGTCACCCCACGCTTCCAAGGTTGATGTGGAGCTGAATAGAGCCTGCCGCTCAATCACCGGTAACCTGATGGCTACCCCCCTGTCAGCACTGCACACACTGGCAAGTATCTGCCCACCTGGCATCCGACGAGATGTCCAGACAAGGACAGAGCGAGAAAAGCAGCTCAGTGATCCTAGGCACCCGTTATACGGACACCAGGAGGTCCCCCGACGTCTGAAATCCCGCCGCAGCTTCATGACGGCCCGACGCCTCGGGGGTATGTCACCAGCGACCCTCAGGGTAGAGCTGTGGAAGGAGAGTCACCCAAGTAACAACAGGGCACTCCCTCCCCCCAGCGAGACACTGCCCCCAGGGACAGACTTGCGCAGAAGGGACTGGGTGGCCCTGAACCGGGCAAGGGCTAAGGTGGCCAGGACAGGGGACAACCTGGCACGGTGGGGCAAGTCCACCAGTACAACCTGCAGCTGCGGAGAGGACCCTCAGACCATCCAGCACCTGATGCACGGCTGCAGGCTTGGTCCTACCTGCACAGACACAGATCTCCAGGAGGCCAATGAAGCAGCGCGGAACTGGCTGGAGTGGATTGGCGATAAGCTATGATGATGTAACCTTTTTGTTACTGTCTAGAATCTTCTCTATGAACAGATTACAATAAGGCTTTGTGATCTAAACATTGTGAGGGTTAAGACAGAAAGCCTTTCACATGTACTAAGAGTATGAATACTGTATGATGCAGAAATTTATGTTAGTTACAACTAAAATCGTATACATCCTACTTGAATCCTCCCTCTGGAAGACCAGATTACAACAAGACTTTAGGATCTAAACTTGACATTGTGACTGAGGGTTAACTTAAGGCAGAAAGTCTTCTGCTTATAATATGACGTACATGTGTAGGTGAGTTGTAACTAAAATCGTATACGGCCAGATGATTCTTTTATACATTCTACTTATCCTCTCAGTGGAAGAACAGATTACAACAAGACTTTAAGATCTAAACTTGACATTGTGACTTAGAGTTAAGACAG